CACGTTCCCTACTCATCCAGCTGACACCATGATTTTTTGGCCCCCTGACCCTTTCCCAGATGGACAACCTCCCACTGAAGACCAGCCAGCCCCATGCCTGCCAAACCCCCCATCCTGAAAGCCACTCATGGTGCTGAGAGACAATCAAAGTAATTTCAGTGGGGGGAGGGGCAAGTGAGCTTGGGTGGGGGTAGGTACACTGTGGGGGGGTGTTCATCTGGGGTGGAGGGGATCAGGGGACTAAAACCAGCCTCTGCTCTGGGGGAAGAGAGCCCCTCATCCCACCAAAACCCCCATGCAGATCCAGCTAGCTCCTCTGATCCTGCCAAAATCTCCTGGACTCCACCAACCGCACCCCATGAACTCTGTTAGCCATCCTGATCCATCCAAGCCCCCTTCAGACCCCATGTGGCCCCCCAATCCTGCTAAACCCTCCTGGTTCCCACAAACCCCACCCTGTGGATACCAGTAACCCTCCTAATCCTTCTCAAAGACACTACATGCCCCCCTGATCTCCCCTGCAGACCCTGCTAGCCTCTCCAACCCTCCAATCCACCCTGCAGACCCTGCTTGTCCCCCCAATCTCCCCCATTTCCCCCTATGAAGTTTGCTTGCCCCCTGATACCTCCCTGATAGCACTCCCATCCTGACTTATCTTAGATTGGGTGGCCAGTACCCTATCAAGGGAGGGGGGAAGTGGGGTGACTGCCCTGGGCACCAAGTGAAGGGGCACCAACAGGTGTTGCCTGGGGTAGGGTGCAAGATAGAGCTGTGTGAAGCTTGTTTGGGAGGGTGCAGGGACAAGGAGAGCTGCCCTTGCACCTTGGGAAAGCATGGGGGCGGTGCCCTGTGTATCTGTGCAGAGGGTGAGGGTAGGCTGCCGTTGTGGGCTTGCCCTGGGTGCCAAACTTCCTTCCTATGGTACTGTAAGTGGCCATTTTTAATTCGCTCTAACCTCCCTGAATGTGTGTAAAGATCTCAAGATGCCGCCTGCTCAGTGTTGCTTTTCTTTTTTTCCCATCCCACACACCTTGAGACAGAGATATAGTCATGTGCCACAGTTATGTTCATCAAGATATATTCATACAAGTCAAGGCAATATGCACCTGTGATATATCCAGTGCAGGCACAGAATTCAAGAATTTTTTGAGAATCTATATCCATTAATTTTTTATCGATGTTGTGATTATCCTGTTTTTTCTCCTTTAAAAAAATGTAAAGCCTGTCAGAGGGGCACCCTCTCACCCTCTAACATTATTCTAAGCCACTGCTATGCAACATGCATGACTTGTTGTGGCAGGATGGTTCTAGTTAGTAAGGCAGCCTCCTGCCATATAGAATACCAGTGATTTTGTGTAGGTGTCAATTTGAGCCATTTTATTTAGTTAAGAATCCTCTCTAGAGCGTGACCAAGAAAATATTATTTATTCACCTGAAACCAGCCTTTCCTGTAGTAACAATGGGGAGCAGGGTTGGACAGAGTAAAGGCAGATAAAGGAAAGCTAGGCAAGTTGTACATCCAATGTATCTGAGCAGTTAATCTAGGGATGAGCAAAATGGCGGGTATGGCTGGTGGCTGGGGCCAGGGCTGGGATCTTGCGGTGGTGACAGCATGGGGGCAGCTGCAGACCATGCTGCAGACCATGCTGTCACCACTGCAAGATCCCAGCCCTGGAGCAGCTCCCCACCCAGCCATGCACCCTGCCAGCACTGCTGGGGCCAGTCTCCATGGAAACCCTGGTCCCCGCACTGTCATGGTCTCAGTGCTGCTGGGGTCTCCATGGAAACCAACAGCAGCAACATGGGCAGGGGCTGCTGAGAAATGGAGTCTGCAATGGGCTCGATCCAGCCCACAGGCTGGACTTTGCCTGCCCCTGAGTTAATCCCAAGTATACAAATAACAATTTACGTTGGGCCACACCTCTGCTAACAGTTAATCAGTGAAATCATTCCATATGCATATCACAGTAGTTGAGATAAGAGATTGCTGCTTATTTTAATAAAAAATACTAGAACAATGCACTTTCAGGACTCTTTGGGCATGTCCAGACAAGAGCACACATGCAGCTTGCAGTGATGCAGACCCATGTGTGGCACTGCAAACCATATGTGCCACACATGCAGGCATTCACCACACTGCTAATTTGCAACATGGTGGGTTTTTTGACAACAGGAGATCCTGGTGTCAAAAAAACCCATAGCAGAAAAAAGCATGGCGGCACATGTGGTGGCAGTGTGTGCTGCCTGAAAGTGGAGCCTGGCTGGCTGGAGCCACATTTTGGCTACCAGTCAGGCTCTGCATACCTTGATTGCCACCCCTGGAGCCTCAGGAGGCCCCCAGGACCCTAGGTGAGGCTGCTGGAGCCAGCCTGGGTGCTGGCCCCAGCCTCTCCTCCCCTACCCAGGGCCAGAACTGACCCGAGCAGGGTATGGGGCCCAGGGTAAATCATCCCATGCGGGGCCCCACCCCTGCTCTGATACTGTGCATCCTGGACCCGAAGAAGCTACTACTGCTTTAAAATAAGATGCCTATTAGTAATCATCAATTGGTTTTGGTAGATTCATCAGCTGCTTTGGTGTTCCAGTTTCAAAAAAACAGTGAACAAATTGCTGAGGTTAAGAAACTTGAGGTTTTGGTAAACCTAATCAACAACAAAAACCCCAGGCAGCCAACCCTGTGATTCTGAACTGATACTTCCTAATGTCCCAGTTGTGTAGCCTGTCAGTTACAGCTAAATTGCAATGTACATTAAAACAATGACATTCAAACAGCAATGAATGCTTGAGGATTTTCCTTACCTATTTCAGTCATGGTTATCCCCGGTGCTAATTGCCCATTGTTGAAAGAGCTATAGGTAAACAAGTTTGGTACAGAAGTGAGGTCATAGATAGGTTCTTGCTTTATCTGTTTGATTCCAGTCATATCTAACCCAGACTGATCTGGGGAGGGCTGGGCAGAATCCACATTGTAATAACCCTCAGACTTGGGCAGGTCAATGACGTGTCCGTTTGAGTAAGTGCCACCAGTTTCGTTGTTCAGGTTGCTTAGGCCATTGCTGATGCTGTTGCTGTATACCCTGGCAAGAGCTTCTGCCTCACCACTCTGCTGCTGCCTTTGCTCCTGCAGTCGCTGCTGGTGCTTCTGCACTTCAGCATATAGGCTATCCCTCTGCTTTTTGGACATCCTTCCAAATTTCACAGCTGAAAGGCAAAGCATAACACAAACTGTTGCTCTCTTGTCTTAAGTTGTCATGCTGATGTGTTACTTTTAACATTAGGTTAGCTCAGGAAATACCTTTCTACTGAGGAGAACAGAGGTGATACAAAGCTTCAGACAAAACAGACCTCACAAAGAACAAAGTACTGTACTCTTTGTTCTGCAAGGTGCTAACATTGCTGTATTTTGACAGAAAGGGCCTCAGTCAAACTCACACAAACAACTTAATTCCTTCTGTGAATATTAAAAGACCATGCATTTTTTCCATGCCTCCTTATGTTCACTAACAACAACCCAGAGGTATATAAAACGTACAGACTTTAGATTTGTATCCTACGTGATTTATCATCTTTCCACAAACCCTTAAACTGTGCACTAACAGGATTAGTACCTTCTGATGAAAAAGACCCCTAAAGCCCTATTATCGCTTCCTTTCAAGGGGTGTTATCTTCACACTCCTATTTTTAAAAGAATGTTACAGGTTAGAGTTAGGACCTAGAGGAAAATAGCAGTTTTGAAGGTAAACATCACAGATGAATGGCACATTTTTCACAACGGCAGGACTTGAGAACTTACACAATCATATTTGTATCATCCACATAGAATATATGCATGTTCATTTCTCTTGGTAAGAAAGGAATGAAAGAGCATCATTTTTGGAATAGGTCAGAGTGCAAACTGGATTCTCCATCAACTGAAATCTTTAAATTGAGGTTGAGAACTTATGAAGCTACATGTGTACGTTCAAGCACAAGCTATTACACTTGATGAAGGAATACTGAGTGAGTTTGCAGGAGGTCAAGCTAGATTATCATAATTTTCCCATCTGGTGTTAAAATCTCTGAATTATACTGGGGCAGATCTGGGGAACCTCAGTGCAGAGATGGTAAATTAAGCTTTTACAACAGATGTGGTCATTCAGTCAGGAACATCTAGATGGAAAAAGAGGATGGAGCCCTGAGGGTTTCCAACAAAGCAAAAGAGAGGAACTGGGAGACACTAGATTATTCCTCTTTGGAGATGTAGTTATGGAATGAAGCATGGGATTGTCCTTTTATCTAGTATGAGGAGTGATTCCTGAAGCTGCTGAAAGATCTTAAATCTATCTATATATTAAATTCATGTTTAGTGTATATTAAATTCAGCAACATGAATGGAAGTATTTTTTTTGGTGCATACACCATGCTCTGTAAAGAACAATGGTGCCAAATGATTGAAATGGAAGTATGAGCTGGGTCTGGCTCTTTCTTACACGAAGGCCAGTTAACACCTCTGCTCACTGCAGGTTTCCCTGGAGAAGTGTCACGAGCCATCTAGTCTGTGTGAACATAAGTATAACTTGCAAGCTGAGGAAAGGTAAAAAGAAAGCAATACCAGAAATACAATAGACTATAAACTTGCCTTTCCATCCACTGTTGGGGAAGCATGTCAGTTTATGCTACCATTAATGCAGCCTTGTGAATCTGCCCATTTTGTACTTTATCCTACTTTTACCCTCATTGGATGAGAGCAGGGAGAGAGACTCCACGATGACCTTATTTTGAAAAATGCAACTGCATATTTTCTTTAATTTTAGGGCCTCAGTAATAGAAACAAACACCCACTGTTTAGTCTCATTATATATTCATTAATTGGATTCTCCAGCTGCTGTCAATTAGCATCCTGCCTCCGCATGATAAAAATGAGTCTACTATATGGCTGAGAGGTAAAATTCACATGTGATTTCTTTGTGAAAAGGAAAAAAAAAATCAATAAAAACTATTCGAAACCAGCAAGAACCTTCAATACCATTGTTTATGTGAAAGTGTTTATACTCATCAGCGTCAAAAGAAAGCAGCACTATGAAACAAATCCTTTTGCTCAGCTACACTGTGGAAGTCCCAGGGCTACAGACTAAGGACTGTCCTCTGATAGGGTAGGGTCAAAATACTAGCAGACAAATACAAATATCCTTAGGACTCCTCAAAACCCTAAACTACCGGCATGGGACACTGTTTTAGACAGAGAATATACACTGATTAATTATAGAAAGAGGCCAGCTTCAAATCTACCTAGGGTAGAAACAGAAGGCTAAGAACAAAGTATGCTTCATACTAGTGACCAAGCTGACTTTCCTTATTACATGCTAGACTGGGATACCCTTATTCACAGTGGAAAGCAATTTATACCATGAAATATTCCTATGGAGCAAAGTACTGTTTAAGGTTGTGAACAAGCATTTGCTGTACCCAGTCTATGTGTAGGAGACTTACCGTAAGCCACCTAGACTGGCAGTGGGCAGCCAGGTTTGGGGGTGGGAGGTTGGGTTGCACCAGCTAACAATCCTAGGGCTGGTGCAAGCAGCTGGGCTTTCCCAGCCTCAGGGCTGTGCTACTCAGGTACAGCAGTTTAGATTGCGCATGCCATTTTTGGGGCCCTCTGCATATCTGTACAATTGGGCATTTAGATGTGTACCCTAAGAGTATCACAATTTGAGCCTCAAAGTAATATACAACCCTGGAACATCCTGTGACTGTTAGGATAGTTCATTATCTGGTGATAGACAAACTTGTGCACATGTAAATACATTCAAATAGTATATGTTTTCAAACACTCTCAAGGACATAGTGCCAAAATAATTTACATTGTATTAATTATTAAATTTATTAATAAATTAAGGTATTTTGCCTTCAGAGAAGGATATTTTTGTTTTCTTCTGCATTATTTGACAACTGAAAGGTCACGCTGTGGACTTGAGAGCAATCCAAAGTAACAGCTGTAGCTGGGGCAGGTAAAAGCTCAGCAGTTTTGCTCAGGTTTCTCTATACAGCTCTGCCATTGCACATCAGTGATGATGATCTACAATACAGTTCTTGATATTAGTCTCAGACATTTCATAGTCTCAAGCTGCCAAACAAACCAAATTGTGCCATAGTTTTGGGATGGGAGAGAGGGGTGGGCGGGGGATGGGGAGGGTTGGACGAATACTCATTAAAGAGTAAGAGAAGACTCTCTTTGTGAAACTTCACACAGGGGGTTTCACCGGTATAGAAAATGCTTTTTCTTTTGTCATCCAAAGCTGTGGTATAGCTCTCTTCTGCACTGCTCTATAGCTGCACATTGCAGTTCAGAGGTGGATGAAGGGGTCTTTTGTAATACTATATTTAGTGAAATGCTTTCAGATAATTAAAATTGCTACAAAGATCCATATTTCCTTCAAATGTCATTTTTTTAAAATCAACTGTCTTAAGCTCTAAGACTTTTGTGAGTCAGGACTGGTGATACAACAGGACTGCGCACTATTAATGTAAAATGTTGTTGTTGAAAAAGTCCAGAATGTGAATCTCCACAAGTGAACCTTTTTTTTTTGCTTTTGATCAGAATGTCACATTTCACTTCATACTATTGTGTTTCAATCTGACATTACTGTCTATTTTTATGTCATGAAAAATACTCCTGAGTTTAAGGAATGGCAAAGAGCTATGTTTTACAGTGAACGTGTTATAAAGCAGTAAGCTTTTCTTTTTTCTTTCCAGAAATCTGTAGGGGGTTTAAGTAGTCAGCAATGAAGAACACTTTCAAAGGGTTTATCTGTGAAGCAGGAAGTTAAGTCCTTACCATCTCTAGACATTCCTAGGGCAAGACACTTTTGCAGTCGGCAGTGTTGGCAACGATTTCTGTTGGTTCTGTCAATTAAACAGTTTCTCTGCCTTGGGCAGGAGTAAGAGGCATTGTTCTGCTGACTCCTCCTGAAGAATCCCTAGAGAGGAAAAGGGAGAGGGGAAGAGTGGGAGAGAATTACCATATACATAGTAGTATACTACTGCAATTATCTCTCATTCAGTGAAAATGTGTTTATGATGCAACTTTATTGATGCTCAAGTCATATATAACAAAATAAAACAATGTCCATTCCTGATAGGAAAACGCTGTACTCAGTAAAGAATATAAATTGATCTCTTTGTCAGAGTGCAAAAAGCAGCACTGAGTAATAAAATATAGTACGTTCTCAATAAAAACTGAACTTAATCAAAATGCTCACTCCTAATACAAAGGCGACTTGCATATGTTACCAGATGACTTATAGTCATTTGCTCTGACCACCTTATTTGTGTTTAGGGAAAAGGGGTTGGTGGTATCAGATGTGAAGGGCTTGCTTATCTATTGACTATATATGGCTGCAGAAGCAATATATTGCTTTTTTCCTTAGGATAATCTGGCGCAAGTACACTGATCTGGAGGGACCATGCATTCTAGGAATGAGAGGTAATTCAAATTCAGGCATGTACAAATGCATTAGGATTTAATGACTAAAGTACTGCTAATATGCAAGGGGAAAGAAAAATAATGATTTTAAATACATGGAAAATTACAGATAACTCTTGCATTAAAGGAATGTGTTACTGTTAGGTAAACACAAAAGGAAATTTAAAAAGCTCTCATTAGGTTCGAAACGGTGCATCCCTTTTTAATTTTTTTTGTGGTGATTCTGTCTTAATAGAAGGTTGGTGATTTTTTTTATTTTTCCTTTTTCTTTTTTTCCCCTTGGGCTGTATGACTCTGTGACAGAGGATAAGAAAGCCAGAACCAGAGTTCATGTCCTGAGTAGTCATGGACTCTGGGACTGGCACCAGAAGGTAGTATTAGGCTAGGGGTGACAAGAAACATCAGAAGTGTCAAGAGAAATGGAGCTAGCAGGTAGAGATAAGAACGGGAGAGCTCTAAATGTTTTATTTTTTCTTTTCTCCAAAGCAAGGAAAGGTAAAGAGCACAGGAAAAACAGGGAGTCCAGAAAGAGAAAAACAGAAAGAGAGAATTTTATTGGAGAGCCTAGTAGCTTTAGAAACTGGTAACTGCACCGTTCCAAAGTGAAAAAAATGGAGATTTTAACAACTGCAGGAAATCATGAAGAAAAAAACTATAATGTGCAATTAGCACCATTAGGAGCAAGACATGTTAAAATCAGTCGCTGGGTACAGTGGCACCAGGTTAGTTGGGTCCTGCTAGGACAGTGTATTAAGCACCTCTGCACTGAATGAGAAAAAGGAAACAATAGTTGATTTTGTTCCATAGCTCCAATAGGTCCAGTGTCATTTCAGCACAGGACTATGGATGCCAGCCGAAAGTCATGATGGTGGCAAAAGTTATGAAGTCATGAGAAGTGACAGTGAAGAAACAGGAGATCCAGGAAACAGATTTTTGAGGTGATATCTTTTACTGGACCTGCTGTATGTTTGGGAGAGATCTTAAAAAAGCTGTCAGGAACAAGGTAATCTTCCTAAAGTACCTTGTGTCCACAACCTTGTCTAAAATCTCTTCCAGCTATTCACTGTAAGGTCAAATAAAATATTTCCCCCCTCCAATTCTTCATTTAGTAAAGACAAGGTTTTTTGGGTAAATCTGATATAAAGAACATTTGAATTTTCTTTCAAGTCCCAGTGCAGTGAATGATGACCTAAGGTGACACTTGGACTGGCTAATAGGTCCTGCGTTTCAGTAGAGATACCAGCATCCCCTGACAATAAAGTTTTAAAGTCCCATTTCATCTTCCTTACTTTGGTTATGTTAGGCAAAAAGGCAGGACAGGGCGGGTGGTCTTACTTTGGTTATGTTAGGCAAAAAGGCAGGCCAGGGGGGGTGGGTCAGAGAAGCCAGAGCTTTCATAGACAACAACCTACTTTGTCAAGAAAACTCAGGCCTCTGAACCAGTTACTTTTTAAGATGCCATCCTGCCATACCTTCTGCCTGACTTTGGATTAACATGACTAACCACATCTTTACTTATTGATTACTTTAGTCTATTTAATTTATTCTTGGTCCCTTTGGGAATGCAACAGTCTTTAGGGTAAGTACTAATGAATAATTGCAGCTAACTTATCTGTTCCTGAATAACAGAAAGTTTCTTGAAGCCCTGGCTGTGGGTTTAATTTAAATCTAATTTGTTGCCAACAATGAGATATTTCTTATATGTTTGTTGTACTTTATTGCATATTTCCTTTTTGGCATAAAATGGATATTCTGTTTTCAATTTCTGCAATTCCTGTGTGAATAGGAATTTGAATGAATAGATGAATCATATGAAGTCAATGTTATGTTTAAGGCTAACAGTTAAAAAATAAGTTAAAAAAATAACATCAAGTTTAGAGTGTATTTTAATAGAACACATTTTTTCAGTTAAAAACTTATACTTCACCCACAGGAATTTACCTGGGTCTTTGTTCTTTTTTAAAAAAATCAAGCATTATATTCAAAGTTAGTCTCCAAAATATAACTTATTTCAGGGGTGCAGATAATTTTTTCCTGTTTCCTTCCCTCATTAGATTGAAATGCTTTCTTAGAAAGTATAATATAATTTGCATATAATATCAATGGTATAATATCATACCATAAATAAGAGGAAGAGACGTAGAAAAATTCATCTTTTGAGTAGTGAAGGCAATGACCCACTGTAATATTCTAAATCTCGACACTGAGTCATTCTTTTGACCTTGGGTAGATCATTTAACTATTTCCTACCTCAGTTTACAGTACTAATCTGTGAAATGTAGATAGATTTTTTAGCCTCTCCCACACTGGAAAAGAGAGAATGAGAAATTGCTAACATTAGTGAAGTCTCTAGCAATAGCAAGATCCAAAGAGATCGGTAAGTTCAAAGGTAAAAATAGGGTGACCATATTTCCAGTTCCAAAAAAGAGGACACTTGTCACGTGTGTGGAGGGAGGGGGTATATGATTGTGGGGGCAGTGATATGCTGATGTCCTGTCCCTGCCCATACCATTGCCCCTTACTCCCAAGCCACAGCCCCCCCAGCCCTGCTGCTGCCCCTCACTCCTGACCCAAAGACTGTTGGCCCTGCCAGTGCCCCTTACTCCCAACCTGCAGCCCCCTGGCACTGCCAGTGCCCCACACTCCCGACCCACAGTCCCCTGCCCCCACAGTGCATGTCACTCCCAAGCCACAGCCCCCTGCTTCCTCCAGCCCTGCAGCGTCTCCCGGATGCCCTGCCCCTGCAACCAAGGGCACTGGCTCTGGTGCTGCCAGCCCAGCCACGCAGCATTCTGAAGGCTCCCCTCCCCCTCTTTGCCCGCTAGGGGGGCAGGCACTATCTTGCTACAGCCCCAGCACATAGACAGCTTCCCCCAGTGTTGGCAGGCACCTGCCCACCCCCACACCCATCCCCTCCACACACACACACACACTCCTCAAGCCTTGGCCCTCCATCCCTTGCCCCGCATAGGCCTACATGCATTCAGCTTCTGGGGCTGCTCCCATCCCCTGCCTGGCTGCATACCAGCCATGTGCATGTGCGCCCTGCCTCCAATCGCCCTCCCCCAACTTGTACCAAGCAGCTCCTTGCTAGGTCAAGTCAGGAAAAACTTCGAAGCTAGGCTGGCCAAAATCCCAGACATTTGATTATATTTAAAAAAAACCACCTGCCCAGATGGAGATGGGAGGACCCAAAAAGAGGACATGTCTGGGAAAACCTGGATGTATGGTAACCCTGGGTAAAACCTGCCACAGGGAAACCACTGGCAAAACTGTCCTTTAAAGCAGTGGTTCTCAAGCTTTTTTGTACCAGGACCCATTTGTAAACATAAGTGGCTAGTCCTGATGCAGCGCCTCTCACTCCCAACCTGCTGCCCCTCACCCTCAAGCCCCAGCTCCCCAGTGTCAGCCTTCAACCAGCAAGGTAAAAGCCATGGTTTCCCACATTTTTCTCCTTTAAAGGAGAATCTATTTTAAAAGTTTGTTGATGCATTTTAAAAGTTTGTTCGTGACCCTTTCATATATTTTTGCGACTCACTTTTGGGTCATGACCCACAGGTTGAGAAATGCTGCTTTAAAGTATATGGGGCTAGGATTTCACCCAAGGTATCCAGGCGTGCTGTGGAATGCAACAGTGCTATTTGCTTTACATCTTAAAAAATGCACACGTACTTTTTCCCTGATTAGCTCTGATTGGCTAATGCACAGTGTCCTCATGCCTTATTGCCTGTGAGTGCAAAGGCCCATTGTGTGTGGTTCTAGTGGAGAGGTGTATGCATGTAAGCCCTCTCTTTCTTGTATATTTGGACACAGTTGTGTTCTTAGTTAATTCCCGTTTCTAAAGCATTCAGACAAAGGGAGATATATATGTGCCAATACTAATGCTGGGCATACAATTAGCATGCAAGCCGAATAACAGTTATTTAAGTGTTGTGAAATGAAGAGATGATTTACACAGTCCGAGATGGAGCTAACACCTTAAGAGAGACCTTTGACAAACTGAAACACCTCCCATTGTGGTACTGAATTGGAAATTGACATCTTTTTTCATGACAGTCTCACAAAACAGGATTAGACTAATTGATCTGATACTTTAAAATTGGCACAAAAACAATAGAGCTAACACTTTTAACTGGAAGAGGAGCTTCTTATCTCGATAAGCAGTCTACACATAGTGCTTAGGGGTATCGTCTCCTCTTGAGGCACACACAAGGGCTACCATTAACACTAATCACATCTACAGGAGACTCTACCCCTTACTGCTCTATGCAGGCTGGTTACAGAAACAAGAAGCTTCTTTCTGCTTCAAGCATTTGCTTCTTATTGTTTTTGTGCCAGTTTTAAAGTATCAGATCAGTTAGAGCAATCTTGTTCTGTGTGATCATCATAAAAAGATGCCTATTTCCAGTCTTCTATCACAATAAAGCCATGTCACAATAGGGGGTTGTTTCATTTACAATTGTTAAAGTTTCTGAAAGGGAGGATCTGATCTTTGACAACAGATCACTTCTCAGTTTACTGGCATTAAATTAAGCTCTTTATTTTAGAGATGTAGAAATCTGAACTGGGATTTCTTAGATATTTTAGCCATCATGACATACTAAATACATATCTGGGAAGTCAGCTATTTTATACCCTGAGCACACGTGTGTGTTTACACCTATAAAACATGTACCTGCAGGACTGCATCTCCAAAATGAAATGAAGGTAAAAGTCAATGGGGCCTTTGCATTTCTGCATCCCCAAGCATGTCAAAATTGTAAACGCTAACATTTGTATTAGAAAATTTTGGCATGTTGCAAGTGGCAAAACACCTTTACATATGCTAGTCACAGGAGCTTTTTAAACTGGTGGCAGCCTTTCCACAATTGCTTTAAGCTAATGTTGCACCCCCAAATCACTGGCACATTACAGGCTCAGTCTGCTTTCTACCCCCTTTCACCTTCCATCCCCTACAAGGAGGGAGGTGCCAGGACCATTTACATTGTTCCTGAGCTGATGGATTTTTTCTCAGGGCAACTGCAGCTTCATAGTCTCTGGGGAATATAAAAGAGCCAAAATGAGGACCAAAATCAACTTCTAAATATTTAAAATAGTGCATTTGACATTTAAATCAACTCAACCGTGTACATACTGCATCTCAGACAATGCAATAAATTTGCCTTCAAGTTTGTTTAAAGTAAGACAACCCCAACATACTGCAGTTAGCATCTGCATTAACATTTATACTGTATCAGATGTTAATAATTTTAAGTTTCTAGTAATCGTTTGACTGTTGAATAAGGGCAGGTAACTAGTAAAATTGGATGTGAAACACATGCACGTCAGCAAAAGGCATTACAGCCTTTGGCACCCTCTCTTTGAAAGGGTGTCATACTACATTGTTATGTACACAGATGCCTGAGGCTAACTCTGATGCCAGCAACAGAGCTGTATGAAAGTCTCATACCTTACAGCCTTCACACGTGATGACTCCATAGTGTATTCCAGATGACTTATCTCCACAAATTTTGCATGGTATCACTTCAATTTGTGCTGAAAAAGAAAATAAGGGATTGAAATTGTTGGCTTCTCCTTTTTACTGCAGATGGTAAAGAATTGAGATAGGCAAATATTAATAACACCATCCATCCTTCTGCAATGACTCTTTATCATGCATTGTAATTCTAGGTGCTTTCCAGTTTTGACTGGGGCTTTTACGTGGATGGCACTTCCACCCCTGTCCTTACTAGGTTGTTCTGTGGTTTAAGAGATATCATAATAAATATGGTTTTTAAAATTTCATTCTCGTTATTCCTAGTCATTGGACTACTCTAAGCAATGGTCTGTCCTTCTCAGTGTTTATAGACTTCAAGTACTGCGAGACAGTTAACTTGTTCTTTATCACAGCTTGACTCTTCATTTTGCAGAGTCATCGTGTGATGGACTTCCCAATGTAGTTGATATGACGTGGTTCATTTAGTGCTACTACACATAATCCAATGACTTAGGTAAAAGACTCCTATACCACTGGTAAATATTTGCACAGAGTTGCCTATCTACAACTGCTTAATACAGTGATTTATTTGCATTAGAATATTCTCCACCTTCTTCACTCAAGGTTGTCTTGTTTCCTGGTCTAAGCTAGAGAGGATCAAGAACTATAGATTGAAATACTAACATCCTCAAAGTTTGGAGGGCTTTTTCAGCCACTTCTTTGGTTCATGAAATTAGTAACTGACATACAGAATTATCTAGGGATCCAGATTTAGGCAACAATCAAAGACATTTGAATCCCGGTTTCCAGTTAGGCCTTTTTACAAGCCAAATACTACTTAGAAAGTGTCCATTTTTCCTTCTCCTATATAGGGTTTTTGTTTTCAGTTTTTTGGGGTTTTTTTGCTGTGTTATCATTTCCTGTATATATGATAACAAGGTATTGGCCTACTTCAGCTGCTTTAAATCCTGTGCATGAATCCTTCTGTCTACACTGTAATGAGGCCTCTGTTAGTGCTTAGGGATAGATTGTGCCTGAGAAAAAAGTAATTCTGCTATGTTCTTTCATTATTGTAGTGACTTGGAGCAGTGACTCTTAACCCTGTTCTGTATAGTGGAATTATTAGCATGTGATGTTATTAGATAAATATAATTGTTGTTAATTACACAGAGGTGAGACAGAAACAAATCCATGGATCTAAAGGTGCATTAAGTTTGAGGAATTGTAGATCTAGAAGTACATTTTGCATCTTAAGTTATCTCTAGTTTTTACTTGGCATAGTGAAGGAGGCATACATTGACAGTGCTTTAAAAAAATCTTTATTTCTGCATCCGGATAGTTAATGCCCACTATCTTCAGGTAGAGACAAGTCTTTGTAGTTAATGTGAAGTAGCTAAGTAAAATCAGACTGACTACAGCTGAACTTACTGTAAAACTATAGTGCCTTGCCTTCACTGGGGTTTTGTAGGAGGATACAGAAACCCTGGTAACAACACACCTGTGGCAGGGAAGATCAAGTCTGAGAGTAAAGGCTAGGTGCTGCCCATTGGGAGGCTGAGGATTTGAATGATTGTAGACCCCTGCGAGTCACATATGGGAAGCAAGCTCAGCTTTCAGAAGGACAGGCCGTCCCATCAGGACAGGTCTTAAAGGGAGATGCTGATTTCAAGAGGCATAAGTCAAAATATGGAACATCTGGACATAGACAAGCTTCAGTGACATGAGTCATGGGTAAAAAGCAAGTGAAAGTCATGAGTAGCAATTTACATTTAACATAAATTGAATATCCATTTACAGTTTCAGACTTTATTCCTGTGACAGAAGCAGACGCATGAGTTTTGAACCTGAAGTGCTTTCTGCATCAAACAGTATTTCTTACTGTGACCAGTCATCGATTCTACCTATTGTGTTCAAGATAATAAGCATTATATTCCATTGTAAATGCTCGTGGACTGGGTACCTGAATGCGAAGGCTATAGATTTCAAATTATTACGAAATAAATTCATTAGGCTAAGACCATATCAGGGAACCCAAATGCTTTTATCAAACTAACCATTTTATGAAGTTATTGGTGGTAAATACAGTCTCAAGCAAATTGCTGTCTCAGCTCTTAAGAAGTACATGGAAAAAGCAAACTCTCTAGGGCAGAGAGAAGAGATTTAAAGAAGTTTGGAAAAAGTAGATTCTGCTGCTGTCTCCTAGGCATTTCTCTTTTGTTTCGAAGACAGCGGGACAGTTTAAGGATTTGTAACAGAAAACTTGAGTCATTAATTGTACAGGCCAGAAGAAAAAGAAGCCACTGTATTCCCAGAAACATCTTGAATTACTGTAATTAACACCCAGTGTACCAGGTTTCTTTTGCAGATTTAATGATTGTCAGCGGCTCTTACACCTTCTTCACATTGCATCTTTGTTCAGCAGTCTAAAATTCTATGTTTTTCTTTCTTCTTCTTCCTTTTCTCAGTCAGACAAACAGTGCATGAAACTACATCTTACTGTTATAATACCCTATATGGGTATTATAAAGCAACCTGAGTAATTCTTTCTTTAGTTCTGAAATCTGTTATGGGCATAAAATATATTTCTTTAAGGAGGAAGTAGAGCTATAGCACTGACCGTTTCTTAAAAATATTGAAGTCATTATGTCACCTTGAAAACATGGAAATAAGCTAGCTGGAGAGTTGCTAATGAACCCAAAACAGAAAAAATAGGTCTCCATCTCATTCAGACAGAAGAAACACTAAGATTTGTAGAAGAGAACTACTTGTCTTCACTTTTAAGGCCCTCCGTGACCTATCTCTAATAAGCTAGTAAGAATATTACCTCCTCCCCACCCATGATTTTGGTCAAATTTTCAATCTTTTTCATATGTATGGACTGAATTCTGCATAAAGTTCTGCAAAGCCAATACTCCCACTTCCTTAAATCCCTCCTTACAAGTAACCTCTGCCCTGATGTGTATAAAACCTAAGTGATTGGGTGCTTGGTAAGTCGCTCATTAAACAAACTGTAGTCATTTCATTGGCCCTGTGCAGGTGCCATATTTCTTAGATTAATCAGTTTTATCTTATACTTAGACTGTAAGATATTTGGGGCAGGAACCATCCTGTGGCTATGTGCTTGCATAGCAAATAGCACAATGCGAGTAAATAAATAAATTAATAAGCCATTAAGAAATAACAACAAAAGTAGGGTTTCTCTTAGGGAAATTAATTCTATTAGACTAACAGGAGGGAATAGTGGAAGGAAATGGAATGCAGACAAATGCAATTTAAAGCTTAACAACAAGGGAAATAACTACAGAAGAAACTAATGAAATTCAAAGGCAGCTTCTGAAAAGCAAGGATTTGTGTACTGACACTGTAAATATGCATGTGAAATGGTCTTCAAACCAGGCATTAACTGTTCTCCTGAATGTCAGTCAGAGAGAGAAAAATTATTTTGGCTGGTGAATTGTTTTTTTCAAAGAAACGGACACAAAACTATTAATGAATACAGGTCAAATTCACAAAATACTTTTAGCTGAAGTTTTTTGTCCAGGGACAGAGGGGCCTTGATACTTAGGACACTGAATTAGGACCAGCTTGAATCATGACTAAATTCCTTCTTTGGAAGCACATCTACATAAGACGTTTATTGTGTAGTTAACTTATTAACTGCGCAATAAATATTTCAGTATCTACACATCCGCCCCTATTGGGGTGCATGAAACTAATAAACTCTGCAGCAGAGTAGTACTTGTAAATACAAGTAAATACAAGTACTGCCCTTCTGTGGATTTTTTTCATGCACAGCAATGCACGTGTAGATGCTGACTGGCTGGCTGGGGCATAAGGGTGCTTCAGTGCCAGGGCTGCCTGCTGACTAGCGCTGCACTGAAGCAGCCTCAAGCCCTAGCCAGCCCCTCTACAGCACACTGAGCCCAGTTGGACCAGCCCTGGGCTGATGGGCTGATTCCCAAGCTTACTCCCTGGGCCCCCTGCCAAACATAGCTCCTGCGACCCAGCTTAATGTGCTGTGGTCTAGGTGCATGTGTAAACTATGAGCCTAGGAGTTTCCTGGGAGCAATAAACTGCAGAGCAATAAGCTGACTTGATTAATTGAGTATGCTGGAGCATGGTAATCACCGCACTCTGAGATGCTGGAATTACTGTGCATCGAAGTAGCCTCCCTGCTTGTGCATAGGTACCCCAGGTGTTCCATCTCCCCCATGACTATTCAAAACACCAGGCTAAAGAGTTATTCATTATTCTAGAAAGAAAAACTGTACATACTCAAATACTGTATACAAAGTAGGGCAATTTCAACAGGAGATATAGAGAGATGTCCAGTGCAAAATATCATATAGCTGTGGTTATTCTCAGTGCACACTCCTGCAAAGTGTGGGGATGTAGCTTCAAGTCCCTCAGTAACAGAAGGATTTTGAAACTGAGTCTCTCTCATTCTGAATAAGAGCTCTAACCACTGGGCTATTGCACCAAAAGTCACCATATCCTCTTTGTTAATGATATAAAGAGTACCTACATGTAGCCCTTGATTTCCGCTGCTTTGCTTTAGTTAAAAATGCCTGGAAGATTTTTAATAAAACAATAAAATAATTATATAAACAGCCCTAAAATAGGCAAAAATCTTATGGCTGCATGGCTACAATACATGTTGTATAGTAGTGGGTGAACTTAGGTTGTTTCTAAGGATTTGTGAGTGTCTACATGAGACATTTAATGCATAGATTAATTAGCTCCACAGTAAAAATCACCCAACCACACGTATCCCTATTAGGTTGAAGTAAACAAATGAACTCTGCAGCAGGATAGTACTTGTACTATACTGCTTTGGAGTTTTTTACTCCACAGCAGCATGTGGGGCAGATGCTGCCCCAGCTGACTGGGACTCAAGGGTGGTGCTTCAGTAGGGGGGCTGCCTGCTGGGTAGTTCTGCACTGGAACACCTTCATGCCCCAACCAGCCCCTCTGCAACACATTGAGCTCAGGAGGAGCAGGCCTGGGCTGATGGGTGGACCCCTGAGAGCCCTGCCAGCCGGGGCTGGTCCGACCTGTCTCAGCATGCTATGGTCCTGGGTGCAGGTTCAAATAGGGTTCTTGGGAGCAATAAACTCTGGAGCAATAAGCTCTGGAGTTGATTGCTTCACATTAATTACACGTGTAGATGTGCCCATTGTGTCATAAAATAATTAGTAACACACCCTGCCAAGGTAGCACATTGTAGGCTAACAAACAGCCTTTTTACTCATCTAGGAGAAAATAAGCAGGTGTATATAATCAGTATAGAAGCCTGCATATATTGAAGAATTAATTCCACTGCTAGAAATTTCATTTACGGGCTACAGTCAAATCTGATGGCCTAACACTTAGGCACGTGACAATCATATTTTAAACATGCTAATTAGTGACCGATCCTAAAAGAAGTTTAAAGGAGGTTTACAAATGCCATGTTGAAATGTGAATAAAAGTTAGTAGGAAGGCTGAAGTGTCCTTCATTTAATAAGAAACTAGACTATCACTGTCAAAACTGGTTCCTTGAAAGAGACTTAAAATTTTCAAGCATCTGATCCTGAGTAAAAGAGTTTTCCAGAATATATAGTATACAGATCTCCCTCAGTAGATTTGTTAATACCAAAGAGACTGTATTTGAAAAATCACTGGAGCTATCGATTTAGAGAAACACAGAATGAAAAGTAGTTATTTGACCTCCAGTTTAATGCTTCTACAAATCACATCACCCTTAAAATGTAGGTTTTTGAAAAGGAACTATGGAGAGGGACAATGCACTTCTACATTTTTGTCTGAAAGTGAATTCAAAGCCAGTATACTTGGCTTTTTCAATTGTCACTCCTGCAATCACATCTTGAACTCTGTAAATTGAACAGGATTAATTCCTTCTTGTGTATCATCTTCAATAAAAGTTTTCTGTACAAATCAATTGACAATTAGTGACAGCACAGCAAGTTGCCAGTTGGTTTGCATTTAAGAATCACAAGAAAATTCCAGCTGGAATTTTACAATTGGCACGGACTCTGGGCTGCTGTGGTGACCCTATTGAGTTAAAAATGGCCACCCAATCTAAGATAAATTGGGATGGGAGGACTAGTGGGAAGTCTGGAGGGATTCAAGGGAAGGCAAGGTCTGCAGGGGGGCTTGGGAGAATGGGGCGGGGCAAGTGGGGTCCAGGGATGGCTTGGTGGGGTCTAGGAGGGTTTGGCAAGATCAGGGAGGCTGGTGGGGTACATGGAGGGCTTGGGGAAATGGGGCAGCTCTCTCCCCACTCTGGGACCAGGGACTATTTTTAGGCCCCTGACCCTCCATCCCCACCCCGCCGCGCAAACAATCCGCCACAGCAAACCAACCCCTCAATCCAACATGCTCCTCTTCCTACCCTGACTTACTTTCTTAGCTCCTGGCACTGGCGGACACATATAAATATGGCACTGGGAGCAACTTGTGGGATGGTGGGTTTGATAGGCTGGCAGGGGCTGGTTGGTCTACAGGGGGAGAGCATCTAGGGATGGGGTTTTCCCAGCCCCAGAGCTGCACTGGGAATGGTATAGAAGTTCAGGTAGATCTATCTCACCAGACCCAATCTAAGTGAGACTACCTCCAACATGCAGTGATCTGAGATCAGGTCAGCCATTTTTAGACTAATCTAACCTTCCTGAACTTTTGTACAGTTTGCAATTAGATTCCTAGTTAGATCAATCTAAGTGTAAATTCTGCACCTGGGTGAGCTAAGTTAGATCCAGTGGCTGTATTTAATGCAAACTGTACTCTCCCTAACCTCCCCTGTAAATAGTACCTGAGCTTTCCAGTTTAAAGATAGCTTGAGACTGTCTAATGAGCTGCAGTCACATCTCTGAGGGCACTGACAGAAGTGATG